TGTGGTCATTGCGGGTGTGTGTGTGTGTGTGTGTGTGTGTGTGTGTGCGTGTGTGTGATTTCTCACTTTACCCTTCTCTCTGACTCTCTCTGGAAAGAGTATGTGCCCTATAGCAAAATCACACAAAAAAATAAATTTAAAATTTAAAAAAATTGAACAACCACCACAAGTAAACGCGTCAGTTCATCTGTGACTATGAAAGCTGAGGGTTCAGTTCCCGACAGCCATACCAGCCAGCTGCACACGTGTGCCCCGTGCTCATATAACTCAGTACCTGTGAGGCTGCCCCAGGCAGGTAACCCCAAAGAGTCATCATCGTGCTGGACTTCACCTTCTCCTCTTCCTGACGTAAGATGATCATTGAGTTTTCTGCAGTCAGGAAAACGGTCTGGGTCTTGCCCTTGAAGGACTCTCCACAGGAGAAACCACTATGGTTGTAGGAAGAGAAAAGAACAAGCCAAAACCAGCTTGATCTTTTCCACCCGCACCTCACACCGGACCCACTGGTTGGCTGTAAAGCCGTGTGAATTTCAGGGTGTCTCCCTGCTGGGCCCTGTTCCTTGGACCCAGCCTGCAGAGGCCTGAGCTGACACTGGGCAGGCGCACTGCTGTCCACTGTCCTCCACTGTCATTCCCCACCCCCAGGTCCGTGAGTCAGGTGCTAATCTGAGAGAGGAGGCGTTTTGCACACACCTCCTTGGCACGAGTGTGTTCAACTCTTTTCTTCCCCATATGTGACATCATGGGTTGAAATGCTAGAGAGAAAAAAAAAAAGTGAAAAGAGAAGTACCTGATTTTTGCCTGGTGGATAAATGTATATTTAATTAGGAGACCCCACTGTGAAGGAGGTAAAGTATTTTAGTTCTGGCCTATTGAAAGACAAACACCTACTGTATCCTCACTCTCTAAGTCGGCCCCAGATTCCCAGAGTGAGCCTGCATCAGCCCTGCCAATAGAGCCTCGAGCAGGGTCCAAGTTACCAGGCCGCGTCCTCAGGGCTCCACTGCCAGTGGGCCTGTCTGCCCAGAGGTTGTTCATGCAAGCTGGTATCAAGCCAAGGGTTTAAGGATTTACCCTTTACAAAACAAAACAAAACCAGGAAAAGAATGAAGTAAAGAAATATTGGCAATTTAGATTAATTAAGATCTTTAGTGACTCAATAAAATGTGGCAGGGGGGAAGTATAGAAAGCAAACATAGATACCAGAGACAGTGTGGGAGGAGAGTGGGAGATGGCAGAGGGTAAGAGATAGGGAATCGAGGATGGGGGGAAAAAAGCTAAACATACAGGAAACAAGAAATAGAAAATTATTTGTTGATAATAACATGTTTGTTGATGTGCTTGACTGAGTCAATATACAGTGTACTCTGGATGGAAAATCTCACTTTGTATACTGTAATGATGTACAGCGAATGAATGTAAATAAATAAATTTAATTAAAAAATAAGTAAAAAATTAAAAATTAAAAAAAGATTTATTGGCAGTTGGATAGATAACAGGTATCTTAAAAATGAGGAAATATAAAACATTGAACTTTTATTTGACCTTTATTTCCTTTATTGGTTGGGAAATAATACCACTGAGCAAGGAACTTGAAAAACTAAAAACAGGGCCTAGATGGGGGCACAGTGGTAAAGCATGAAGCTCTGTAAGGCTGGCCCACATGGGATGATTCTAGGTTCGAGTTCAGAGCCTCCCTGAAACTCTGGGCATACATGTGCCGTGCTCTGGGGCTGGCTGAGGTTGGGAGTGGATTGCGGCATCAGGATCCTTCGGGGAGGGGAGCCAGTTCCTCTCTCTCTCTCTCTCTCTCTCTCTCTCTCTCTCGCTTGCTCGCTCGCTCATGGAAGAAAGACTTTTTTTTGTAATTGTCAAAGAGTGCATGTGCTCTCCAAAAAGAGAGAAAGAGAGAGAAAGAGAACACCCCTCCCAGCGGGGCATGGTCACACTGCAATCCTTTTTGCTCCGTTTCTCCATCCTGTCAGGATTTGGGGCGTGCCTGCACATGCATCCAGCATGTTTTGCAAGCTGCTAGTGCGAGGGTTTAAATCACCGTCAGCCATCTGGGATCCAGTTCCCACCATATAGCAGTTAACCACTTTGCTACTGGGCCAGCCCAATAAACTTTTAAAGGGACCAGCAGTTAGCGTAATGGCTATGTCACTGGACTCTCACGTAGTCAACCGCGGTTCGAGTCCCAGACCCGGTGGTTTAAAACTCACGCCGGGCGCGTGTGCGTGCGTGCCCGCCCAAGATCCCAAGAGGAGAATGGAGAAGAAGGGTTTGCGGCATGTCCATATCCCATGGGGGGGGATTTCTCACTTTCTGTCTCTCTATCTCTCTCTCTCTCTCTGGCGAGCGCACGCACCCTATAGCAAAAACCTCTCAAAAAATTAAAAATTTAAAAAATTTTAAAAATAAACTTTTAAAAATATAAGTAACATAAAGAGAAGACTCTGCCCATGCCCTGGTTTTCAGGAGGGATACAGGTACCAAAACACTCCTCAGCTGTTACTATCACTACTCCACAGAAGGCAGCACACACGTTATTATAAAATCCCTCAAAGACGTTTTGCCCATAAGCGATATCGTCAGCTGTTCCGTACCTGAGCTTAGCTAGCCCCCAATCCTGCAGTCCTTAAACCTGCGCACACTCGAAGGCGAGCTCATCTCTCTGTGCACGGTGGGTAGGACCTCTTCTCCACCCCGGAGCACGCTCTGTTTCGGAGCCCTCAGTGACAGTGCCAGCCCTTGCCAGTGCTCCCCTCGCATGTGAAAGGTGTTCTTCTCGTCAGACGTTAGCAGGGAAGACCAGCTGGGAACTGAGCACCACGCCGGGCACTGGCAGATCTAGACACTGCCCTGCCTTCCCATCAGGTGGCAGGAGGGCCGGTCTCACAGCAAGCTCCAGGTCACACAGAAGGCCATTGTGTTACCAGTAGGAGAGTGGAGAGGCCCTGGCAGGTGGGGTTTGCAAAGGATGCGGGACGAAGGGAGCCAGGAGAAGGCGTTGAAGCAAGCCTGAGGAGATAGGCCCAAGCCAGTCAGGATTGGCGAGGGCTGTCTGGCTGGGGCCTCCCAGACAGCAGTCTCCTAGGGACCGAGTGGGCCACACACCAGCCTGGAGCCGCTCTGTCAGGAGAGGAGACCACCTCGGGCCTGTGTGCCGCTGTGTGGTGGATTTTCTTTTCTTTTCTTTTTTTTTGCTACAGAGCGCATGCTCTCACCAGAAAGACAGAGAGATAGAAAGCGAGAAATCACCCCCCCAGGGAGGATGGCCATGCCACAATTCCTTCTCCTCCTTTCTCCTCTCAGGATCTGGGGTACGCTCACACACATGCCCAGCGTGAGTTTAAGCCACCGGGTTCAGGACTCGAACCGTGGTCGGCTACATGGGAGTTCAGTGACATAGCCATTACGCTAACTGCTGGTCCCTGTGGTGGGTTTTCTGATATACTTACTGTTTCAAGGGGGCCTAAAGCTGCAGTAGGACAACCACCCACTTAGGGACAGCAGGGAAAGAAGAGAGGGACAGAGGGAACGTCAGGGAGAACCAGGATAGTGTGCTATCCCAGCCGCACAGGCCACGGGGACAGGGAGGCCACATTTGCACCAGGGTGGTCCCCAGAGGAGGCCCTGGAGAGGGTGCACTTTGGCGACCTGAGGTGGGAGGTGGGCAGTCTCTGAGTTAACAGACTGCCCAGGGCGAGGATGGCACTGAGGACGTAGTCAGCCCTCCTGATTCAGCCTACTGGGAGCCCAGGGCTACAAGGCCAAGGCTGGGATGGGGCCTCTTCAGCCAGGCAGCCCTGAAACTAGGAGCCAAGGGATGGCTGACCCCCAGAAGGTGAGCAGTAGATGGTGAGGAGGGCTGCAGGCCAGGCCAGCCAGGGGCCAGCACAGAGACGAAGCTCTGGGCTTGGGGGAAAGCATCTGAGATCCAGGAGAGGAAACAGGAAGCGGGGGGCTGAGAGACCGGGGGCCAAGAGGTCAACGCAGGGACCACAGGGTGCATGTGTGTCTGAGGGTGTAGCACTGAGGGTGTGTGTGTGTGTGTGTGTGTGTGTGTGTGTGAGCACGTTGGCATGTGTGTGGTGGAGTATGTATTAGAGTAAACGTGTTATACATATGTGTTAGCATATTTTGGGGTATGTGGGTAATGGGGGTGTGGGTATTAGCTGTGTTGGGAGAGTGTATATGTTGATGTGTGTATTGGGGTGTGTGTGCTGTGTAGTATGTGTTAGGGTAAATGTGGGTTGAAGCACATGCATTATATGGTATAACTTGGGGTATGAGTGTGTGATGTGGATATTGGGATGTGTGTGCTTGGCGTGTGTGTTACTGTGTGGGGGTATGTGTATTGACCTACATATTGGGTGTGTGTATTAGGGTGCGTGTGTGTTGGGGTGTGCATTGGGGGTGTGTACTGTGTGTGTTGGTGCACATGTGTGTGTGTGTTGAGGTGTGTACTGGTGTGTGTACTGTGCGTGTTGGTGCACATAGGTATGTGTGTGTTGGGGTGTGCACTGGTGGGTGTACTGTGTGTGTTGGTGCATGTGGATCCGTGTGTGTTGGGGGGTGCATTGGGGGTGTGTACTGTGTGTTGGTGCATGTGGATCCGTGTGTGTTGGGGGGTGCATTGGGGGTGTGTACTGTGTGTTGGTGCATGTGGATCCGTGTGTGTTGGGGGGTGCATTGGGGGTGTGTACTGTGTGTTGGTGCATGTGGATCCGTGTGTGTTGGGGGGTGCATTGGGGGTGTGTACTGTGTCTTTTGGTGGACATGTGTGTGTGTGTTGAGGTGTGTACTGGTGTGTGTACTGTGCATGTTGGTGCACGTGGGTATGTGTGTGTTGGGGTGTGCACTGGTGGGTGTACTGTGTGTGTTGGTGCACGTGGGTATGTGTGTGTTGGGGTATGGACTGACTCTGGACTGACTGCCCAAGTGCCAGCTAGATGTGGGGTCCTTTCCTCAAGCGGGCGCTGCCCGGTCTGCCTCACGGCCGAGATGCCCTCACAGCGCCGCTCCTTGGTGTTCTGCTGGGAAGGAGCGGCTCCCATTACTACGCGCTTCCTGTTTTCACCGCCTCACTCCTGTCTTGCCAGTGATTCTCCACTGTCAAGGAAAACGTTCAAATCCTTATGGTGTTCGGGAGGCCTGTCTTTTTTCATTGTTGCTCATAATCCATAGAGCAGTGAATGAGACAGCCAACGCCCTGCCCTCCTTAAACTGCCAATCTGAGGGAGAAATCAGCCAATAAATACGTTTGTAAGGCAATTTCTCTCTGTGCGTGAGAGAGACAAAGAGGGAGCACCGGCGACCAGGTCTTGTCCTGCCCTGATCTCCTTTCCACAGCCCTCCAGCTTGTCAGGGTCTTGGGCGCTCACGCACTCCCTGGAGTGTCTCCAGGGTGACCTGGGGGTCCAGCCAAGTGACTTGCAGCAATGCAGTCCTGTTTGCTACCACTGTGCCACCGGATTGGCCCTAAGAGACAATCTTCTAGCCTCTGCCACCTCCAGCTTTGGGGAAGAACCCTACCTCACCCCCCAGCAGCTCTCTCACTCACTCTGTCACTCACCCATTCGCTCTTCCAACCCCGTGGTCACTCCTGGTGACCCTAACAGGCCCTGGACCACTAGGATGTCTGGTGGTGCCAGATTGCCTGGCATGAAGGGGCTTCCTCTCAGGACGTGGGGCTTTCAGTGGTAAAACCAAGATGGCCCAGGCCATTCACATGCCTCACCCCTTCACATCTCTCCTGGTGTTTGCTCAAGCTGCAGCACCTTCCCCTGCCCCTTGTCTACTGAGAGAACACTCTGCCCCACTGTTAGGGAGATGGGCAGGGAGCAGGGGCCGTAGAGTCTGCTGGAACACTCTGGTGTCCAGAAGCCAGCTGGGCACCAAGCAGGGCCGCCAAATAGCTGGTTGACTGGGAAGGTCTGAGATGCAGGGCAGAGGTCATTTGGATTTGGGAGCCGCCAGTGTACACCGTGGAATGGAAAGCCAGAGGCAAGATGAGTTCATCCAGAGAGAGGTGTCGATGGACGGGCCCTCAGGCTCCTTGGCCTTCAGAGGTGGGAGAGCCAGCAAAGGAAAACCAGTCCAGGGCAGCAGGGAGCGGGCAGGGCAGGTGTCCAGATCTGCAGCTAGGCCCAGCTGCACTGATCAAGGCCGCAGCACACTGATCCTCAGTGCCGGAAGCCACACGGCTGATCATGGGTTCAGAGCCCGAGCCCACCTGAAACACACCAGGGCACATGCCTAAGATCTGATGGCCTAGCAGGCTGGAGGAAGGGGATCTCAGTGTGAGAAGACACTGTCGAGGGAGCCTGTCTCTCTCTCTCTCTCTCTCTCTGACATCCTCACTCTCACTCAATCCCTCATGAAATAAATAAAAATAAATAAATTTATTAAAAATGTTCTAAGTGGACCAGCAGATGGCATAATGGTCACATTGCTGGACTTCCACATGGCCAACCATGGTTTGAGTCCCAGGCTTGGTGACTTAAAACTCACTCCAGTCATGTGTGTGTTTGTGCCCAAAATCCCAAGAAGGAAAATGGAGAAGGGATTGCAGCATGGCCATCCCCCTGGGGAGTGATTTCTCGCTTTCTGTCTTTCTGTCTCTCTGTCAAGTGCACATTCCCTATAGCAAAAATCTCTCTGTTTAAAAATTAAAAAAATTTAAAAAGTGCTATAAGCAGGGCCAGCAGAGGGCATAGTGATTACATCACTGGACTCCCATATGGCCGACCATGGTTCAAGTCCCAGACCTGGTGGCTGTATATACAAGCATCCCAAGATCCCAAGAAGAATGAAGGAGAAGGGATTGTGGCATGGCCATCTCCCTAGGGGATGATTTCCCATTCTCTCTCTCTCTCATGAACACATGCACCCTAAGGCAAAAACTTCTTAAGAAAAAAGAAAAAATCGCTACAAGCAGTGGAGTACAGTAAGAATGGCAGGCCAATAGAGACGAAGATCTCAACAACAACAAAAAAATGGTGAGCAAGTGGATCCCTCAGAAACTCTCCCCCAACAGAGCTGCTGTGCAGGGGAGCTCAGGGGACGGGGTCAAAGGAGGACACCCCAACTGAGAGCCCTGGCTCTGCGAGATCCAGAGATGGTGGGCACGGGGCAGAGCAGAGGTCAGTCTTGGGTCCAGAGAGTCAGACCCTCACTGCTGGAATCAAGGGCTGACAGTCTCTCCCTGTGGTCATGGAGCCATTCCAGAGCCAGACGAGCTGGACCATGTCCCTGCTTGGCACAAACGCTCGTGCTGGGGACAGTCACCTGCATCCTCTTGGCACTGCCAGCTGAGACTATTCACTGTCTGAGCGTAAAGGACTTTGACCCCACTTGCGTCCCTGCGGCAGAGTGTGGGGATGCCCAGGTGGGGGAGGCAGTGTGCATCCTCAGCTGGGTTCTCCTGGACCTTCACACCTCCCTGCCCCGTTTCCTCTTCCTGGACATTGGTGGAGGAGAGAGGCTGAGCTAAGAGGATTGTGGGGCCAGGGTTGGTTTGTTCGTTTTATAGTTTGCCTCAGGATTCGTGCACTCGCCAGAGAGAAAGAGACAGTGAGAAAGCACTCCCCCATGGGGCGTGGCCACTCCACAATCCCTTCTCCTTCCTCTCTCCCTCCTTCTGAGACTGCGGGCACACATGCACACGCGCCCGGCATGTTTCTCAAGCCACCAGGTCCGAGACTCAAACTGCGCAGCTGGCCATGTGGGATCCAGCCACCTTAACCATCACGCCACCTGTTGGCTCCCAGGGCTTTAGTTTGCCATAAGCAGTTTGTAGAAATTCTTCGACACAGGCAAGAGTAGAGCAAATACAGTTCGAGCACCCCTAGTTCAAAACTGGAAATTCTAAGTGCTCCCAAATCTGAAAGTTTTGAGCACTGACTTGATGACTTGATGCCAAAAGTGGAAAATTTCCCACCTGACCTCATATGATGGGTCAGGGTCAAAACGCTGTAATATAAAAACGACCCCAGCTAGGAGTGTCAGCCATGTAGGAAATAGACGACTTGCATATTTAGACTTGAGTCCCTCCCCAAGATGTCACATTATGCATATGCAAATATGCCAAACTCCAAAAAACTTGGAACCTGAAACACTCCTGATCCCAAGCATTTCGGATAAGGGTCCTCAGCCTGTGGGAGGCGACCCCACGTGCCGCAGTTGGTGGAGGAGGAAGGGGGTCACTTGGTCCTAGAATTCATTCTGCTAACTGCCTACAGCAGACCTTTTCAAACTGCAGGCTGTCAAACACAAGTGGGTCATGAATCCAAATGCAGTGGATCAGAACCTCCATTTGGTTTTTTTAAGACAGTGTCTCACTGTGTTGTAATCCTCCTGCCTCCGCCTCCCATGTGGCTGGGAACACAGGGGTGTGTCGTGGAGCCAGCTTTTAGGGCGGGCTACGATCCAGCCCGGGGCCTGCCCCATGGCCTTAGCCTGCTGGGTAGCAGCATCAATCTGCATGCTACTGCAGCTGGGCCAGAACCGTACACTTTTCAATGTATTAAAATGAATAGAATAGGATAGAAAATTACAGCAAATCACATATAGCAGGTAAAGGCGGGGCCAGTCAGTGGCATGGTGGTTAAGAAGCTAGATTCTGCATGGCCCACTGTGAGATTTGAGTCGCAGACCTGATGACGTGAAAAGTACTCCAGGGCGGGGGACCAGCAGGTGGCATGGTGGCTAAGGTGCTGCATCTCACATGGTCGCTTGTGATTGAGTCCCTGACTCAGTGGCTTGAAAATTAACACCGGGTACATACGCATATATACCCCAAACCCCAAAAGGAGTATGGAGGAAAGGGGATTTGCAGCACGGATATCGCCCCTGGTGGGGAGGGATGCTTTTTCATTTTCCCTCTTTCTGTCTCTCTCTAGTGAGTGCATGTGCCCTGTGGCAAAAACCTTTAAAAAAAGAAAAGAAGGAAAGAAAAACATGCCAGGCATATGTGCATGCATGCCCAAAATCCCAAGGAGGGAGAGATGGAGAAGGGATTGCAGCATGGCCGCTCCCCATGCCAGGTGCTTTCTCACTTCCATTCTCTGTCTCTTTCTGCAGACATACACACCCTCTAACATATAACAAACAATAAAATGAAAAGGTAAATGCTCTTTTAGGACACTTGTTTCATTGGCGTCCATGTCTGTGTTCACACATTTGTATGCATTTGTGTTCCAGGTGGTGATGTCACGTCGATTTGTTACCAGGTGTAAGGTAAGAGGAGGGCAAAAGCCCCTGAAATCCGCCTTCCCTGTCTCCCCACTCCCAGAGGCCTGGACGGGGTCACCTCTCAGTGGCTGGAGCAGCTGGCGTGCCCCGTGGGCTCTTGTGTGGATGAACGGACGTGGAAAGAGGGTACCCGCAAGCCGTGGGCACTGGTGTCTGCATCTGTCTGGAGCTACGCACTGAGAGGGAGCACAGTGACCAACGTCCCAGGGGAGGGTGCCGGCTCAGCGCAGCACTACGGATGCCCAGACCTGTCAGGTGGAGAGGCCAGTAGTTCGCAGCCTGGCTCCACCACAGAAGCAAGGCGAGCTTTAAAAACCGCCAAGTGTGACCCAAGGATTCTGCCATGACTAGGATGGGATACTGCCCAGGCATTGGTGGGGGAAGACTGGAAGCTTCCCCAGTGATTTCCCCATCGGGCTGGGGCCGAGGACCAGTAGCTATTAACCAGAGGAAGAGGAACAGCACTCACTCTCCCTGGGTTGGGGCTAGAACCACTGCAGCAGGGCAGATGTGTTGGCACCTCCCTGGTCCCAAGCTGCTGTTTTCCTGACTGTGGGAAAACAGGTGCCCTCTTGGCAAGCCCTCGGGATGTCAGGCCAATTGCGCAGTCCTTTCTGCCTTGTGCCGACTCCCGGAAGCACTCCTTGGAGTGAAAACACCCCAACTACTACCCTTCTCTAGTCTGGTGGGGGTTTGGGGTTTGGCAGGTGCCAATTCTTCAACTGCACTTCCCTGACGTCCCTCTCATGCCACACGCACCGAGGAGTGACTTCATCTTCCAGGCCTGCAGGTAGCCTGTGCT